TTAAAGACATGACGTTGGGAACGGATTGGGGTGAGGGCATCGGACCGGAGTTGGGGGTGTGATGGGCAGTGGTCAGGAGGGGTAAAGGCATGGTTTTAGATGGTTTTTCAAGTGGGGGTGTAGGGGTAGGCGTGAGGATGTTTAGAGCGGTTTGTGGAGGAATAATAGGCATGGTTGTAGGCAAGTTTGGAGGCAGGGGTATGAAGAGGGTTTTGGGGCTTGTTTGGACAGTGGCCAGGGATGAAATATAAATGGGTTTTGAGGTATTTTGGGGCAGGGTTGTGGTAAGGGGTGTTGGGTTAGTTTGGGCAGTGGCTAAGGAAGGTAAAGAGGTTGTTTGAGTAGAAATTTTGGGTAGGTGTGAGGGAGTTGGGTGAGAGATGTTTTGGACAGCATGGATGCAAGGTAAAGAGGGAGTTTTAGAAGGAATTTGAGTGTTGAAGATGGTGGTGGCTTCGGGAATGATTTGGGTAGCGTGGGAATTCTGCGAAGATCGGGAGTTAGAGGAGGTTAAGGTTGTGGGAGAGAGGGCATTATGGAGGGACTTTTGTTGTGGGGAAGGTGGTAGGACTTTAGAAAGAGTGTGGGGTGAAAAAGGGAGAGTATTTTCAAGTACCTGGTGGAGATGATCTTTGGAAAAAAATCTCTTAATTAAGAGTTTTCTTAACTTTTCCCAAGTTCTCACCTTCGCTTTTCCTTGAAGCTTTCGTTTTGAAGCAACACTAGCCCACCAAGTAGAGGCATGTCTTTGAAACTTTGCCACCACTAGCTTGACCTTCTTGTCTTTGGGTACGTCTTTGAGTGTAAAGACGTCTTCAACTTTTGCTAACCACTTTGAGAACTTCTCCGGGTCGTTCCTTCCCTCAAACGTGGGAATCTCTACTGAATTAGTGAGCTCCTTGATTTGTTTCATCATAAGCTCAACTTCCTTCTTTAGTTTCTCCTGAGCAGCAGCTATTTCACCTTGAAACATGTTTTGAGGAGAGCTTGGCATGGTGGATAATATGGCTTGAAGAGTGTGTGGTTGACAGTAACAAAAGGGATGAGGGAGGCATGAGCAAATTATCCCTTAGGGATGATCAACACAAAGCTCTGATACCAAATGTTATATCTAAGCTCCGGGTTTACCGGTAATAAGCACAAACTCAAGAAATAACGCCTTTTGATTTCAGGACAAGAGGATAATCGATTGTCTATCTTAGATAATCGATTGTCTGATGGTGCAGTTTCTTGGATTTTCTGGAGGGATTGATAGTCGATTATCAGTATGGTGATAATCGATTATAGAGGACTGCAGGAGTTTCCCTTGATGTATGATAATCGATTGCCGAGGGTGATAATCGATTAACGACGCATGCAGGTGTTTTGATGGAGGAATGATAATCGATTATTAACAAGGATAATCGATTATTTTGGCAGAACGAAATGATGGTG